GTGATAGGATAATATCCTTGTGCCTACAAGGAAGCCCAGTTAATACCAATATTATTCAAATTTAAGCACCAACCACTAAAGCCAGTGAGGATGAAATAGAAGAATTCTACCAACTTCTTCTCAATGACATACTTTCTGGAAATTCTGGCCTTTCTCTATGAATAAGCACAGTTATTTTTATCCACCCCAAACTTTATTAAACCCCAGAAAAACCTTTGGAAAGAGAGACAGAAGTTAAGTGTTACATTCAACCCTTCCTATCTTCACTTGCTAGCCTCTTTCCTATAAGAAACCTTTTTTCATATGGAAACTCTGTGTCACCTAACTATTCTTAATCAGTAGAAAACAAGAGCCCTCAAATGTATTGCAGAGGTTTGATTAGCACTCCTGGTAGCAGAGTGAATATATTTTGTGAATTAATCTTTGATCTTGTTTAATTCTTAAAGTATATTATATTCCGTTTGATGATTTGACTATTGTGGGCTTATAAGACATTGTTCAATAAGAAATAATTTAAAATATATGAAGAAATGTGGTTTGTATGCATTTTAATAGATTGTTATTGAATTTAAAGAAATTTTGAATCTTTGTAAATATAAGTGAGTTTAAATTTATAATGTATTATATTCATAATATTGTTTAAAAACTGTAAAATAATATTCAGTGCTCATCATTCCAGAAATATGAATTCAAACATGTTAAATTGTTTATTTCATCATATTGGATTCAAACATTATCTTTCTGCTAATGAGTCACAAATTAATAACTTCACTCATGTTATTGTGCTTGCATTCTAGTTATCTGTTTATGACTAACCATAGGATGTTCAAAATTAGATTCCACAACATGCTACATAGCCCAGATAACATTTATCTTTTTTACCAAAAACGAACTCCTTGATCTAATCTCATTTTTGTGAATATTTTCTTTATTTTTCCAGTTTCTCAAGCTTAAAAATGCATCTTCAACCCCTTTTCTTCCCCCATAGTTGTGAGATCTTATTAGATGATCTTCACATATTTCCTGCTGACCATCACAGTAAAGACCTAGATAATCTCATAAAACTTTTATATTGCTTTCCCCAGTTTATTGCTTGGACAAATATAGACATACATCACTTCTGATTTTGCATTGTTACTGAAGGTTCTTTTAAAATCAGACTCTACTTTTTCTTCAGTTATTTTTTATATGAATTGTTTATCTCAGCTCAATTTGGATTCCTCCCTATCATCCTTTCCCTTCTTTCTCTTTGTAGCTGCCTCTCTGCTGGATGTCCCACTCCTAAGGCAATCAACTGTGCGGTTAGCTCAGGAATGTCCTATTTTATCATTGAAAGTCCTGCTTCCTAGAAACTTCTCAGCCTCAGGCAAACTGAAATGGCTGAGCAACCTACCCACTCCTCTAGTTTAAAGAGTAAATTTTTATTAACTGGTTCTTCTATGTTAGAGACACTGTGGTAAGTGGTAGGGATATAACAGGGAATAGACAAACAAAAACAAATATTCCCTGTCCTCTAGTACTTTAGAATTGAATCTATGGGTGAAATAAGAAACTGTAATCTGTTAGGGTTCATTGCAATGTAGAGAAAGTAAGAATAAAAAACTACCTAACCACAGTGATTCAGAGGAGGTTTCTTGGGGGGATGAATATTGAGAATGGATAAAAGTCAGATGAATGTGAATGTATGTTTGGAAAGATTGATTTCTGGTCAAGTCAAGGGTAAAGTTTATACACAGGTCAGAAGATTAAATGAAGTACGAATTCTAGAATTTCAAGTAGTTCTATTTGTTTGTAGTGTATTATACAAGAGTGATGGGGATAGAATGAGTGTAATAGTTTGTTCCAGAAGGATGTTGCATTAGAAAAAGCTTTAATTTTTAAGCAATTGAAAATTTATATAGGGTTATATGGTAATCTTTTTTTTTGACAAGTTGTGAGTAGTGAAGCAGCATGATCATATGTAGAAGAGCCATTTTTACAATGTGGATTGGTAAAGGTGAAACTGTGTAGTAAGACAGAAGTGTGAAAGAACAACTAGAAAGCTATTACAGTATTTAGTCTGAGCGCTTAACTTTTGTTCCTGATGTTCTTCCACCTGAAGTACTCTCCCAATTTCTTCCTCTACATTTTCTCCAAACATATCTATTGAAGATCGGCTGATGAGGTCGTACTGTCTTGGTCTTTTGTTACTCTTAAAGCTCCTTCTGATCTCTTATTTTTGTCCTTCTGATTACATCAATGATTTTCATAATTTCACTCAAACTGTCAAACTTCTCATACAAATTACTCTACACCTTGAAACCACATTAATTTCTTTAATGTTACTGAGAACTGTGCACAAAGAAAAGAGTAAAATAAGTAAATAAATGTGAACATATTGATTGGCTATATTTCAGCCTTTTGGTGTAAAATTTTAATTATAATTCAAAATGAGTGTTTTTCATTTACATTTAATTTCAGATATTTCACTGTATCAATTATACTTAGTATGTTTTAATAGGGGAAAATTACACTTAAAAACAATTGGTTGCTTAACCAGATCCTCATATTTGCAGCATACCCTTCCTTTCTTAAAGTCCCACAAAGAGAATGGGTATAGGTGCCAAAAGATTAACAGCTACATATATGAGAGTAATTAAAAATGCATTGATACTAGGGTTCTAGTTCATACATACTTTAAGCCTATTTAAACATGTGTCTGCCACCAGTGCAAGGTTGCAAATTAGTTTTCTCAGTAATACACTTGAATTACTATTGTTAAGATGCCTTCCAAAAAAAAGCTCCAAAGATCCAATCAGAACAGTGACTTCTGAGGGTTTTCTTGCTGGACCAGTTAAATTCAAGGCAGAAAGATCACCTCAGTAGGTTATGGTGACTGTTTATTGGGTATTATCAAAGGGTAATCTTGACAGATTTTCTCAGAGAACACGGGACAATCACAGGGATTTAATATGAAGAGTTTTAAGAAAATTTTAAATTGTATTGGTTGTAAAAATGTCAGGAAAATTTTACTGATAAATTTCTCTTTCCCATCATGAAAACGCAGTGCACTTGCTCATTCTTCAAGGGTAGCAAGGGCTGTCCTGTTGGGGACCGCAAAGCACTGAGATGTTGAGGCCCTATGTCATGGACGAAAATCCTACACGATGGCCCCACTCAGGATGGCTAGCCAGGGACTCTGAGGGCCAAAGGAAGTGACCTCCTGATGTCCCGGGTTCATTAGTTTTTGCGAACTCACTGGTGGGCTACCTCTGTATAATTTTCTTTGGTCTTATTATTCATTCTATGCTTCTAACTCCAGTAATTGTAGCTTCTGAGAAAATGGTTTCTTATGTGCCTCTCTTAATGTCTCCACTGTGTT